TACTCTTTATTTTGGCTTTTCATGCCATGTGAAAATGCAGATTGTTCCACGGAGAGTGTTGCGCTGTTGTGAACACAGTGAGTTGTATTATGATGAGAGTTCATTTCAATATTGAAATTGTAACATCGTTTTAGAATTTTTATTATTATTTATTATTATTTTTATTATTTATTATTATTTTTATTATTTATTATTATTCGTTTAAAATGTATAATATCGTATTCCATCTCATAAGTCGGCACTGTGTACCATGTGATTTTTGCAGTAAAGTAAATTCGTTTGGCCATTTTTATTACTATCGGATAATTTGATGTAATTTTTAAAAACGTGTTCTAATTCACACGGATTGATTATTATCTTTACTTGCGTGCAATTTTTTAATTGGGATGTTTTTGGCAGAGTGCCTGATATGACCTGAAATTAAATTCAGGTCAATTAGAACGCGTAGTCGGAATTTAGAGCAGAACGCGATGAGGAAATCAATGTTTCCGGAGGAAGAAGATAGCGGCACACCGAGCTCATCTGAGGGGGAGGGGCAGACGAGTGATAGTGAGAATGGAGAGGGTGCAGACACGAAGGGGCGGGGCAAGAAGGGGGGACAAAAGGTCCCCAAGAGGAGGGTGATAAAGTTTAGGTGCGCACCCAAGGTTGTGGTGAAGAAAAAGGTGCGTTATTATTGTTTATTATTAATATTATTATTTATTATTAATATTTATTATTATTTATTATTAATATTTATTATTATTTATTATTAATATTTATTATTATATTTGAAATAAAGTAAATTTAATTAATTACTTTAAAGCGACCAGCTGGCCCAGGCCCAGGTGAACTGTTTGTTTTGGACACGGCTGTCACTAGTGAAGGGCCAGATCATGAGGTAGTAGCAGACGAAAAAGAAATTACCGACGGGCAAAATAGTACCGAGGTGGGAGAGAAGAAAGACGATGAAGAAAAGAGAGAGAGCGTTGGTGAGACGGGAAAAGGGCAAGAAAAACGGGAAGAAAGACATAAAAAGGGAAGAAATTTGGCAGCATTTGATGAGGTGCTCAAAGATAAAGACGTTCAAGAGGTGATTTTTGTTTAATATTATAATTATTATTGTTATGTATTGTTATTTATTATTATTATCATTATTATTATTATTATTATTATTATTACTATTACTATTATTTCAGTTACTCGCAAAGAGTATTATAAAACCAGGCTTCGAGAAAATCTATGCAGAAGGACATAAACCACTATCGAAGAGGGCAGAGTGGCGACTCAGGAAGGTCTGTAATTTTTCACTTTGACCTGAAATTAGGCGGGAATTTTTTTTCAAAAAAATCGAACTGAATTCAAATATTTCAGATCCTATTATTCGTTAGCGTAGACAATAAAGCCTGAAATTAATTTCAGGCCGAGCGTGAGAGTACCAAAGGTGCCGAATGGTACGGCATGCCGGCGACAGAGTTGACAGAAGAGCACCAAAGGGATTTGCAAATTCTGCAGATGCGAGACGCTTTGGATACGAAAACGCATTATAAACGAAACGATCGGAGCGTTTTGCCAAAATATTTCGAGGTGTGATTTGCCAAAATTTTGAATTTGAAATTTGAATTTTCAAATTTTTTAAAAACGCGGGATCGGCGCCGCGAGGAACCGGGATTTAAAATTTTATCTTAATTTCAGGTCGGTACCATAATCGAAAACAAGGCTGACTTCTATTCTGCGCGTCTCAGCAAAAAGCAACGCAAACGCACAATAGTTGAAGAGCTGATGGCCGATCAGGAATTCCAGTCGAAACAACGCAAAAAATACGACGAAATAATGGCCGCAGAGCACGTGACTAGACGGGGTGCATTCCGTCGCGGGGGGTACCCCGCCAAACGGGGGCACCACAAATCAAGGAGGGGGTCTGCGAGGGTGTGAGACATTGTGCCAACCGTGGAGAGTCCAGACGGCAAAGATTTCAGGCTATGTCGTCATCATTCATTCCGCCAATCCAGTTGTGTTGGCATTGTGTGTTGGCCATTGTAGTGGCAACATGAAACGTTGACTATATTATATATTATAAAACTTTATTAATGACGATTTTATATTATAATAATAATAAATATTTGAAATAAAAACAATAAAATATACACAATAATAATACTATTAATAATAATAATTATTATTATTACTATAAATAATACGTAACAGAGTAAAAAGGTGAGCGATAGAATGTTTATATTTATCAAAACAATACAGCTAATAAGCGCGCAAAATTAATCCGGAAAGGTAAAATCGGAAAAATTTAACGGAACCACTAAAAATTAACGGCGAAAAAGTAACGGAACCACTTAAAAAGTAACGAAAGTAAACATCAAACAAACAAACGATGAGTTTACGCGGTAATATCTTCACAAAATCACCCAAAATTAAAGTAATGTATACGTAAGTATGCATAATGTATTATTTATATACATAAATGTATAATAAGCGATTGAATTTATATTTATTAGATTGAATACGCAATAGAAATCTTAAAACATTTCATTTACTAACGATATGACTAAGTAATTAAATCAGTACAGTTATCACATTT